CAGTTAATCGGAACAGATATCTTATACACTGGGCTATCACTATTATTCCTTTAGGTTCCGAGTGGAATACACGGCTTCAGCAGCATATCTCTATTTCATTCTGTTCTCTGCAGTCCTTTTTAGTCGGCTGCACGATGCCCATAGGCTTTCGCCTCCACCACACTATCCCCAGGCTCATACCCAACTAACCGTTTCCCATTTGGATTCCACTCAAGTGTTGGCCTGCATTGCGTGTGATGTTTCTCATCGGTCACCTCAGCATGTCTTCAATCCATCTCCATATCCTTCAGCACATCTGTTGTCACACGTACTATGCGAGGACTCATAACACTACCCAGCCGTCGAGGTCGAATAGCTTTAAGCTTTGTACGGTATTTTTTTCTTTGGATTAAATGAAGCTTGGTGTAATAAGAACTATTGATCAATATGACAAAAACAGTTAGCTCCTTATCGAATTTTGGTACCGTACGTAGCGCAAGGGGAACTCTTTTATCCGCTATAACGGAACATCTGAGTTATTTGCAAATTACAAGTTTTAATTACTTCAAACATAAAATCTGACTATCTCTTATAATTTATTTGCATCCAGCTTGCTTAATTTTTTTCAATACACATATAGTTGATTTATACCGCGATCAGAAAATGATGTGAACGGATTATGCTAGACTAAACGGTGTTCTAGTACATATATACGATTAACTTCGCTAAATGTCTAAAATTCATAACAGGACATTAGATATACTTGTGTATATATATGTGATGTAATTGTAATGCTTTGATTATTATTATTATTATTAGCTGGATAGAGAATTCCCAATGTAACAAAAGACTTAGTAACGGGATGTTTATTTGCAATTTGGTATACACACAGGGAAATAACGTATACCGTATATTAAAGTCGTCATTTGCACAGACCGTCCGTGTTATGCTACTTCTGTCCTCCGTATTTTGACTCTTCGTCTTCTTTTCCTGTGTCCCAAGTTTCGTCTCAATACTGGTTCACTTCCTCCTTATGACGTCAAATGTATCTCTCTGCTATTTGATACTTTTGTGACGATAAGCGTCTCTTTGTATACTACTAATTAATCTTGTCAGTAGCACATGCCATATCAATATCTTATTTACTTCAATGTTATTCCAAGAAGAAGACAAATAAAGAGTAGCGTGATTGTTCGTTTGTTTGTTTGTATTGTAATGGAGTGTTACCGATTCTTTTGGATACGTAGGTTAGAATTCTCAATGTATATCCCAACAGCCTAAGCAATGTATAATAGACGTGGGGTAAACTTAAGATTGGTTGGTATACTGTAGATGACCTCGAAGGCCTTGGTTTTATCAATTTTGTGTTGTCTCTACAAGTTGAGACAGTATAGAACTATGATTCGACTTTGTTTGTCCCTTACTTGACCAGACAGGATGGTATTCGGAAATCCGACTTTAAGCATGCCTAATTATGTGGCCTATGTAACTGGCTCTACAGGAGCTCTCAAAATGGCAGATACCAATAGAATAGGCGAAATTATGTTGTTTGTCTTTAACACTCAAATGCATAATAAGGGTGGTTTTGAAGACACAGCTGAATGCTCTTTTAACTGCATTCCTTTGGCGTTGTGTTAATAACTCACTGATGTCATCCCTGAGGGACTAGGTTGTAAGATTAAGGCCTTTTTAGGAATTGTTGGTACTTTGGCCTGCCTCGACTTTTGATTCATATTCTTATCGATAAATTTTTCTGGGTAACCGTTCAGCAACTGTTTAATAATATTAATCTCTTCATTAAGACATTCATCAGAGCAGATTACTCTTGCTCTGGTTGCGTTTGTTTTTCAAAGGCACGAAGCTGACAAAATGAGTACTGACCACAGTTGATGTAAGCTTTCTACACACACTTCTTATTGTATCGTCCTCTTTTTTAGTCATAAGGACGTCTAAGAATGAAATAGTAGAGTCTCTTTCTTTCTCAGTAGTAAAATTTATTGCAGGATGAACCTCGTTAAATTTATCCAGGATGTTCTTTGCTTCATCCTCATTTTTCATCATCAAAAATATATATCATCCATGTACCGATAGTAGAATTCTAGTTCATCAGAGTTCTTCATCATCACTAGTTTTGTAAGGAAAATGTCACCTAGAATGGGTCCTAGTGGTGACCTCACTGCTACACCAACAATTTGTCTGTAAAGTTCCTTATTAAATACAAAGTGAACATTTAGTGTGCATTTCGAAAGAATCTCTTTTATAAAAAATGTAGGAATGCCGACATCGATGTTTCGTCTAATGAATTCTTAGCATACAAAGTCTACTGTCTCCTTAAGTGGTACAATGGTGAATAAGAAAGATAAGTCAAATAATATCATGAATTTATTCTTAACACTTAAATCGTTTATCCTTTCAACAAGTGCAGAGGTGTCTTTTACTCTATGTCTCACTAATTTAGTATGTAGTGGCTGTAAGAGTGTGACTAACCATTTGGCTATGGGATGAAGTGGTGAGTTTAACATGTCTAGTACTGGTCGAAGTGGCAAACGATTTTCGTGCACTTTCGGCGAACCATATAATCCTGGTTTCAGTGATGCCTACTGACTTTGTGAGATAAAGCCTTGTCGTTTCAATCTTCGCAATGTTTCAGCTAACTGTTTCTCTATCTTTCTTGGAATTTTAGATTGTCATTAGGAATGGTATTCAACTTTATTATTCTTCATAATACAGAGCATGTTGTTTTCACATCAACGCAAATTTAAACCATAAACAATCAATATTTTATTGATTACATCAATCATGACTTCATTGATCTTGTCCATCCTAACAGTTTGTTTAAGCGCAGTTAGCCGAAGGAAATTTCTCATGTATCAGGCTGTATGATTCACATTTATTGTGCTAGGACTGATGATACCCAGTTGCTTATGTTAATGTAGGTGGAGCAGGACTCAAACACCTTATCCGTCGGTTGGGACTGAGCACTTAAGCCAATCAACTATATTTCGTCACTATTGCTTGTTTAGGATTTTCGGGGTTTCTAAATGAGGTGTTAACTGCAATTTCGTTGATATTGTCCCCCTTTCGTCACTGCTGAGAATAGCCGTAAAACTAGTAATATCTTACCATTAATGCATATGAAGCAACACTAACATGTGTAACTAAGGCATTGATACATTTCTGTGTGAAAATGGAAGCTATTCGATCATGATGTGAATTCACATTGACTAAAATGTACAGGTGAATTTTATACATTCCAAGACGATTCAGAAATGCCTGTTATTGTTTAGAGGGTTAAGAGGATTTATTAATTTTAAGGTATTCAAACTGAGAAGAATAACAGTAGTTCATAAGACATGTGAAGTTTGATGAAATTATTATTATTTCCTTTAATTCCTAGAGGAACATAGGGCTTCAGCCGAAAGTCTTTATTACCTTCTGTTCTGTGCTAAAGTTCTCACCTGGCTCCAAGTCTGCTCACATGCTATCATCTCCTCTTCTCTGCATGACCTCCTCAAAGTCACCCTTAGACAGGCTGATTGTTGTCTGTTGTTGCTTTTGCTGTTGGTCAGGAATCTTCATCACCTCTGTTTTCTCTATGTTCACCTGAAGGAAGTCCTATCTTTGATGCTTCTTCAGCCAACTTGTTGCTTTTCACTTGCATATCTTCCAGATTTTTGTGCGAAATCAGACATATATTACATCGGTGAAGTCCAGATCCTCCAAGCCTTTTGTGTGGGTCTATTTTATGCCCGTTTCCTCGCTGCCCGCTGTTTGTCGCATTATCCAATCTACTGCAATCAGGAAAATCATTGGCGATAGTAGGCAGCCAGCTTGTCTTACTCCCGTCTTCACTTCTTCGAAGGATTCCGTAAGTTTCCCGTTGTGGATTACTTGGCATGCAGTGTTGTCTTACAACTGTTGGACGAGATGTATGGTTATCGACGGCACCCCGTAGTAGCGAAGTAGTTTCCAACTCGCCTCTCGATCGATGCTGCACTGTCGAAGGCCTTTTCAGAGTTGATGAAGTTGAGATAGAGAGGTGACTGACTACCATTCCAAGTTTTGTTCAATGATGATCCGTAGTGTGGCGATTTGATCAATACATGACTTCTTTCTCCCTGAATCCAGCCTGTTTCGGTTCAAGTTTTTCAGGAGTTATTTATGTTAAGTGCCGCGGTATATGTATACAGATAAGGTTCATTGACTTTCAACCAGTGGACCTCAAGTTTCCATTCTACTCTTCCTGCATCAGTTTGGATCTGGACAACTCGGTGAATACATCAGCTTACACATACATAGCTGGGTACATGAAATATCTGTCTTGAATAACTAAGTCCTAAGTATACTATTCAAAGTTTACTACAGATGGAAGTGGTTTTATACTCTCACATATTTTGTAAAACAAGCTTATTTCTTGCTGTCTTTCTCTCTCACCTTTCACTTTTCTTGCCGAAATTATTCCTATGCCAATCGATGTACTTCGCCGCCGCCAGTCTTTACATATCAGTTGTTTTCTATAGATGCACTTCATATACAAATCATTTGCCACACCACTTTGCTTTTATTCAACTTGCAATTGCATTAGATTGTTCCTTTAACACTCAAACAAGTTCTTTTAGTTATTTTAAATATTCACTGCTTGGGTTGGGTATTGACATTTTCCTGCTAGTAACTTTTTTTCCTTATTTTTTTTATGATAACAGCCTATCTCTTAAAAGCTGTTTTCAAGTGCAGTTTTAATTTGTGTACTTATAAGTAGAATACTGAACTTTCAACTAACATGTCACGTGTTCCAGACTATCTGCCATCTGTTTGATTATTCTAAAAATCAGGATGATATCACGCCCATACACATACACATATCAAGTGTCACTCATAGCTTACTGCATGAATTAGAAGCGATTCTGAACACTCGATGTATTTTTTATTATATATATGTATATGCTGACTGAAAGATCACTTAAAATGCTTTAGTAATTGATTTTCTTTGTTTGTTTGATATTTTTTGTTCGATTCTTTAGGCTGCATCGCATTTCATCACCACAAGCAATAGACCTGGCGTTCTTACGTCGTCATTTTCTTCGACGGAGTGAGGGAAAAGGATCTGAAAGCGCCAAAAATGTTCGTGGCGGCAGTGCTAGACAACCGCGTTTACGACAAGGTACAACTCTGTCAAGTCTTTTATCCTCTGCACGACATAGTGCATTTTTCCCAAGTTCTACGAGTTGTGTTATAGACAGTGGTAATGTTATTCCTGAGACTTCAAAATCACAGGAAACTCCAGACGTATCTGATGTACTGAACAATTTGAATCCTACGCGAAGACCGCCTATATTTGTTGATCTTCGTACTTTCGCCGGAGGAAGCCCTGTTGTTGCTTTGAAAGAACGCCTAGATGCTCAAGCTATTGCAGATGCTAAAGCGTCTGCATTTGCAGAGGCGGCTGCTGTACTTGCAGCTGCAAAACAAGTATCCTCTCAGTCAGTGAGTACCAGTCAATCAAGTGTGAGTAATTTCCCAGTGAAGGTACCCCCGCCGACTAAGTCTATGATTTATCCTGTTGTTAGTCGTGCATCGAATCCATCATTCAATGAAAATGTATCGTCAGTCGAAAATTCCGACATCTCTCCACCTATACCACCAGTCAGGTATGCTATATTAAATTGTGCTCTCTTTTTTGATTACTTATTAACACTTTGTACATCTACAGTTAAGTACTTTATCAAGTTATTCGTGTCCCTTATATTTTTATTTGTATACATACCTTTGGTTTAGTTTTGCTTGACCGATAGCTGCAACCACTGACGTGGTGGCTTTCGTGCTTGCAGATAAAAATGACTCAACGAGCTACACTAGCTGGAACTAATGTTCCCGGTAGGCTCTACCAGGCCAAAAAGATCTCTAGGATAACGATTAGGCTAGAGGCAGTTGCCATCTCTGTGTTAGTTGTTCACACTATGCTGAAGGGAGGTTTTGTGGGTGATCATACTGCTGGCGATTAGGGATCCGACAGCAGTAAGTTGCTTCCCTCAGAACACCAGCTGTGGTACCTCTTCAGTTTGGAGACGAGCAGAGGTTAGAAAAGGTTGACCATATGAACTTTTCTAGTGGCAGTTCGTAGCCAGTGGCAAGATCTTTAATACGGAGTCATTTTTAAAACCCAATTCCAACAGGCCACGTATGACTGACCTCAAGCTGACTGACTGATTGCTTTCAACTTTTCACGGATGTGCAGCAGTTCAAGTTGCCACTCTCCATGTAGCACACAAAGCAAGATAAAGGAGTAAAGAGAGGTGTGAGGGAAAAAGAACAGTAATATGCAAGAACAAAAGAGTTTTATTGGATATGACATATCACAAAGAGTGGAGAATGCATCTGGGCCATTGTGAACGCTTTCGAGCCATATCACCAGTTGTCTGTCTCTATGCATTGGTTCTTAAAATCCCGAACACCCCAACCATGAAGTCTACAGCTCCCTATGTGACTGGCTTAAACTAATTGTTATGGATTTCATTGACTGTTTCCATGTTTTGGTTTGACTACCACTGTGGTGAGAGCAGGCTGCTAGCCGATTGGTTGGCTCTAATCTACGTTAAGGTCTAGGTCACTAATATGGGCCGTGAGAAAATATGAACAAGCCTGAGTCAACAACCAATCACAGCAAAGTTAACGTGGCAAAATATGATTCGCAGAGAAACTCTATTTGTCAAGGAATCCCGAACAACCAATCAGAAGCCTGCGTTTGTCTACCTAAACAACCAATCAGATGACTGCGCCTGTCTATAATAATGTAGTTGAAAGATGTATAAATACGTGTTGATTTTCATAATAAACGATCTGTTGCCTGGCCCTTGTCTTCTGTTGTTACACCACTAGCTCTTTTCCTATGTCAGCTAAAATCGCCCTTCGAGGAAGGCTATAGGTAGGCATGAATGCTAGTCGGCTTCAAGCAATCATCCACGTGAAATTTGTGGTTATACAACACTAATGCTGCTTCAGTTTCAGGCACCCCAAAGGAAAAACCAAACTCCAAGTTGTGTCTGACAACCGGGTAGTAACAACCGCCGCCCATACACTTTCAAAAACACAAAAAGCTCTAGCTTTCTTGACCTGTCAGTAGTCCAATTTTGAATCAGATTTTGGACTTTCCATCGTAATAATCGGTGCAGTTGGTTTTCTCTCCTCAAACTGTTAAAGATCACGATTATAAGGAGAGGTTGAAGGAGTGGTAATACCATACAATGCATTCCTATCTATACAAGCCTGTAGCAGTTTAACAACCTTAATAACCAACTTCATCCCAATATGATAATGTTTCCAGGCATATTAAAGAATGTGAATCTTTTAGACATTTATTTTTTTAAATCTTGCGATCATCTCTTCCTATTAAGTTTATATATATATATATATAATGTCAGTCTACACCCCTGAACACCTTGAGCAGCAATCTTCGTATGTTTGGCATGCTATTCGCCTCTGTAAAATGTAAGATGCTGCTACAGGACTGGACCACGTCAACTCCCAACTTAGTGATAGGGAGTGAAGTGATAGAACATGTTGACCACTTCACCTATTTGGGAAGTTGTATTAGCACCAACGGACTGATTGGCGACGAAATCTCAGCACGGATCCAAAAGGCTCGAGCTGCTTTCGCTGACTTACACCATCTCTGGCGTAGGCGTGATATCCAGCTATCAACCAAGGGACATGTGTACTGCTCAGCAGTTCGCTCCGTCCTTCTCTATGGCTCTGAAACACGGCCAATACGAGTTAAAGACATGAAAAGGTTGACTGCTTTCGATCATAGATGTCTGCGATCTCTTTCTCACGTTAGGTGGTAAGTAATGTTGACGTTAGGCGTAGAGTGTTGGGCAAAGAGGGAAAATCAATCGACGAGGCTATAAAGTTACATAGATTGAGATGGCTAGGTCACGTGCTGCGCATGCCTAACCACCGCCTCCCCCGACGGGCATTGCTAGCTGATATAGGTGCAGGTTGGAAAAGAGTAAGTGGTGGCCAAACAAAAACACGGCATCAATCCATGAAATCCTTGACAGTTAAACTGAGTCAGGTAGGGAGATGCAGACTTCCGGGTTGGGGCCCTCGAGACTCTAAGAATCAATGGCTGAAGACCACAGGTGACATGGCTCAAAATCGTTGTCAGTGGCGCAGATGTATTCAGTCTCTGTAATCTTTCATATTTCTTTCTACCATTACCCATTCTGTTTCACTCTTATACTTGTCAAACTCTATTGATTCTCTTCACTCATCTTCTTGTCTACCTTTGTGTGCTAATTGGAACGTGGCAACTCAAACTGTTGCACTTCGGTGCCAAGTTCTATGTTGAATCCAGGCAGACCTCCTCACGTTGCTGGTACCATTTTTTGGTTTGACCACCAATTATTAGCTTGTGGTGGTGTGATACAGATAATGGGTTCCAATGGAATATTCGCTGGAAGAATCATTGTATATGTTGGTGTTAACGTCTGATTACTATCCCTATAGTTCAGTACTGCCTCAGCAACAGAATACTGTGTGTATCTGAACATTCTACTTCATTTCGTTTAATGTAAACAGAAATTTTTTAAATTTTTGACTACAGCTTGATTCCACACTGTATTTTTGGTACAAGTGTGGAATTTTCAGCATGGATATCAGTAGCCCAAATTTCGCAGGCCGACCATAGATATCAGGTGTGCGTCGGTAGGGGATCGAACCCCGGACCATGTGCATGGTCGGCGAGAGTCATAACCGCTCTGCCACCGACGCACAGTGGTTTGTTAACTAATATATAAACTGTATAGATATAAATAGCTGTTTGATCACTTGAAAATATACCTTGGCTTCCATGTCCTAGGCCTTCTGCTGCTATTCCAAGCTCTTTTCTAGTCCTTTCTCAAGTACTTTTATCTCATTAGAGCTTAGTTCCCTTGATGAGGGGTTGATCACCCACTTTGTTCTGTCGATAGAGGATGAAGCGTTGACATCAGTTTCATTTGTTGTGTTCTTTTCTTCAATTAGTTTGTTGAATTCTTTGATTTGTGTGATTTTTGATTTTCTTAATGCTGATTCTCCAGTTTTTTTGGATGTTTCAACAACAATTATATAATCCTTGTTATTGATCATATATATTTGAGTTTTTCAATTTCATTTCGTATATTATTTAGTTTCACAGTAACTCGACGTAATTCTTCTCTTAAACATAATCTACTGACATGTTCGTCTGCTGATGTTATTTTCCTTGAAGTAATTGGAGCATGTAGACGTGAATATTTCGTAATGATATGATTTTTTAAACATCGACTGTCAAAAATCCGATGATTTGTGAATCTTGCTTCAGTTTGACTAAGTCGTGTGAGTTTGTTGATATGCTTCCTAGTAAGAAGATCATATGTATCATTGATATAAGAATAAAACTTGTGCACAGTCGTAGAGTGTAATTGCATTAATCATATGATTCTGAACAATAAATTGTGCTCAAAATGTCATCAGTAAACATTACTGTATAACACTGTGAGACTTTATCAAAACAAAATTTACCCATAAGCTCTATTCTAACCTGATCGACCCTGTTAGCTAACATTCCCTTTCAAGAAAGGTGATGGGTAGGGATGCCTAACACATATCCTACCAGTGTCAATAGATGCGACTTCACAACCCTCGTCGATTGATTTCCCCTCCTTACCTACTACTCGACGCCTAACATCATTATTACTTTCCCTATTATGCCGCCTTACAGACAGGCATATATATATATATATATATATATATAATCATTTTACTTTTTATACTGAAGAGGGAAATCAATTCATTGCTGTAACTAGGTTGATAAACGATGGGATAGACAAATGCAAATGCATACACCTTTGTAGATATGCACAGATAAACACTTGTACACACACACACACACTGGCACACAGAGGGGTTTTTCTTGTGTATGCATGCATATAAAACCTTAAAGAGAGAGTGGTTTAATGCAAAATTTTATAGTCAATCATTTTTTTTGCCTTGGTCTTATAAAAAGGGTGGTGGTATAGAGTATTTGTTATGTGTATGTATGCCTATAAAAGATAAGTTGGTCAGTTAGTAAGTTATTTAGTTAGTTGGTTGGTTACGCTTTTATTTTTTCTTAGACTATATTTCTTATCATTGAATGTTCATAAATTATATTGACATAATTTAACTAGATAATGATGATGAATACAGAGCTTCATATTGGCATTCATTCATACTGGTGTGAAATCAGCTTCCTGTGTTCATAGAAAAAGAAGAAAGGGTGGGATTCACAGACATGCATGCACCTTATTTGATACATGTATGTACATAGATAGATGTGTGTATTGCATAAACAGAGTCTGTTATTCATTCGATATGAATCACACCGTTTGTTTTTTTATTCATAATAAATTACAGATAAAGTCGAGTCTTTGTTTCAGCCTGGCCTGGCCATTGAGAGTGGACGACATGAAAAGCCCAGTTAGCTGTCTTCGATCATAGGTGCCTGCGCTTTATCCCCCGTGTGAAGTGGTATAATAAGGTGACCAATATTGAGGTTAGGCATCGGTCGAGTGCTAGGTAGTGAAGGAGGGGAAATCAATCGAAGAGGTTGTGAAATTACATCGACTGAGATGGTTAGGATATGTGTTAC